TGGAGGGAGGGAAGGACAAAGAGCAAACAACTGTGGGATATTGGGTGTCTTCCACAACTGAGAGAAGCTTACAGCCATTCAAGTTTGATCCGGAGAAGCAAGATCTTCCTCATAGGTATCTGATTTAACTTCTTCTGGAAGAGCCAGTTTTCTTCCACAAGAAATCCCTTAAATGGCCATACACTCTCCTCTTTGTGCCAGAAGAAAGCCTTTTCTTTCAGCACAAGTGTAACAGCTAATTCTGGCCAAAGGAGGAGTGTTAAGATGGGATCTGGTGTCAGTTTTTGAGCAGGTGGAGGGCCCAGGTTTCTCCCTTTCCAAGCAGCCAGGCATTATTGGGGTTTCAAAATGTAATAGTCCTTTGTAAGATAGACGCAGTAATTACCTGGGATGGCTACTAAGTTTTGCAGCTCTTTTTTAAGGTTCATGATGTCCTTGCACAGCTGGATGTCATCCATCCTGCAGAAACAGAAAAGGCACAATGTCAGGAACATGCACATTCACTAGACATGTTGTGGCATTACCCAAACCAAGGTGAATACACCCAGCTGCTATCAGTCACTGACACCTTTCAGCATCCAATATGCAGAACAAATGAACATCCATGATAAGGCCCTGCCAAGTGACTGCTCATGTCAATGCTTATTTGCTCTGTATTGGTCTAGCCTACATATTTTTATTGTCACACTAGTGGCCTTTTTTCTTTTCTATGGTCACTTCTGAAAATGGGCACCTGAACATTTAATAAACTCCAACAGGTATCAGGATATATGCTACAATAATAAGCTGTGAGCTACAGTGGTTACATTTTTCAACTACTGTCTCCAGTAGGGAATAATGAAGAAAGAATGGTGCAATGGTTATGGGTAAAGGTGTTGGACATTGGTTCAATGTTCCCTCTAAGGAGGTGCGGTTCATGAGCACACCACCTCGGTCCATGAGCACGCCACTTTGGTCCAGCATGGGACACTTACTGAAGGGGGCTGGGGGCCAGAGGCTGGAGCTGGGGGTTGGGGCTGGATCCTGGGGGCCGGAGGCTAGGGCCAGGGCCCAGATCTGGGGGCCAGGGGCTGAAGCTGGGAACCGGGGGCCAGGGGCTGGGGCTGGGGGCTGGGGGCGGGGAGCTGGGGCCAGTGGCTGGAGCTGGGGGCCAGGGGCCGGGAGCCAGGGGCTGGAGCTAGGGGCTGGGGGCTGGAGCCGGAAGCCAGGGGCTGGAGCATCCATACCTGCCTTGCCTCTCTTCAGAGAGGAGCTGCTACCTGCCCCAGTGAGGCTCCACCGGCTCCGGGACAGTGCTCCGCTCCCTGGCCCTGACACCACATGCCTCCTTGCTCCCCGAGGTGATGCTGGGGAGCGGAGCAGTGTCCTGGACCCAGCCCTGATGCAGGGGAGTGGAGCACTTCCCCGGAGCCAGGGAGCCCACACCAGGCTCCCAACCCAGCCTCTCCTGGTGCGTGTCCTTGAGAAGGCTGTGCGCAGCCACACTTTTACTTGTGTGCAGCCGCGCACGTGCACACCTTAGAGGGAACCTTGCATTGGTTCATCATCTGCTGCCAACTTCCTGGATGACCTTAGGCAGGTTATTTAGGTCCAGCTCCTCAAATGTTCATCAATGGGAGTTAGGTCCCCATTGAGGCTCCGTCCCTTAGTAAAATGGCAACAACAGCACTATTCTACCTTTTCAGGAGGTGGAAGGATGCTGTAAAGATTCTGAGGTGCGCAGACACATGGTAATAAAGGATTACAAGGCTTCCTAAAATAAGAGAATAATATAACGCAGATAGGACCCAATCATGTAATGTGCTGTGCACATTCAACTCTCACTGAAGTTAATAGTGCTTCACAGGATGCAACTCATAATCTTCAGCAAAACCATCTGGACATTGCAAATACTGATGTATTCCATTGGGATTTAGCCATCTTCAGCATTATCTTCCTGGCAAACGCTTCCTTTTCATTTAAGATTTTGATTCAGCCCTCCTGTCAGCACTGTGCTGATGCACTGGGGGCTCTTTTGGGGACAGCTATTTTGAATCTCTTATGGAGACTGCTCTGTCCACACTCACATACAGACCTGTTTCACATGCACCAAAGTCCAGTAGATTATTGTCAATCCAAGACAATGCCAGCTGCATTTCTGATGAATACATCATAGAGATTATTACACTATTGCAGATTTCCTTTTGAAGGGGGAAAAAGTGATGTTATAACAGGTAATTTCATTTGAGATTATGAGCCAGAAAGCTAGAAATCCCAGTACCATAACTGGCTTATATAAGGGACAGAGATAAAGAGGAGAAGAGAAAGTCTGTGCAGAGGGTAATACAATCAAATGACAGAAATATGTGTGAAGTGGTGAAGTAGGTGTTTCTGGGACAAACCAATTTATAATCACAGACTGAGCCAACCTCCTCCCTCATGCCCCTACACTGAATATCCTCCCTTCTCCAAGCCATTCCTCAGTTATTTGTTATCAAAATGTATCAGTCCTTTTATTACTTGCTACTTTGGTTATCTCCATCTTGCCTGATCTATATTTCCTTACTTCATGTATGAAGGGAACATTGGCTAATTCTTTAACCACTGATATGTCTCTTTAAAGAGGGTGTCAAGGAGGTGACTGATAACCGTCTTTATTATTGCCTTCCTTTCTTCTCCATGAGCTCCAAAGGCCCTTGGCTCTCCTAAACCTGGAAGCAAGAACTCTTCCAGCATCTATCCCTGTACAGCCTACTGACAAACTGGCCATCTTATAGCTTGATGACAAAACAAGAAACCTGCATTTTCATCATCTGCCTCTACCTGGAGTTGTTATTCCAAATTGATCACTGCTTAGTCTGGAGTAACCCAGGAGACCAAAAGGCAGAGACCTTAAGGCTGGTGTCTGTTTTCCATTCAGGCTGCCCACATGGTTCATGCAGGCCATGAACAAAGTCTGTTTTACTCCTGAGCTTCATCATGCTAAGTGGCACTGAAATTACTTTTATCAATTAACAGTCTCAAACACTTAGGAGAATCAATATTCAAAATGTGCTGGGATATGAGCAAACCACATAGCTCTTTATCCATTCTGTGTTTGTAAAATTTGAGTTTTCTGTATTACTATAATAAGCACTGCTATATTAGAGCAAAATGGCTATGTTAACAGGAGGTATTTTCTTGGAATAAATGTTCAGTCTGATCTGCCCCATTCAGATATAAAGATACAAAGCCGTGGCCAATGTATAGTAGCAAAGCACCAGCTGAGGATCCTATACTATTTGTTCCTCCCTGATTATATCATTTGGGCCCAATTTGGAAAAGGAGTGGTGTTATTGCCAAGGTTTATCTCAGTGATTTCAAGTGCTGGGGGATGCTGCTAAGAGATTGCACCATCAAAACTTCTTCTGGTTTTACAGACCACACCTCCTCTGTGGTCAGTGCCGTCCTTTTGGGGGGCAATGCTGGATTCCTGAACTTTCCCCACAAGAGAAAAAAGGTCAGTGCCTTTCTACCAATGCTAGTTCTCTACTCATGGCCTTCTGGCAGCCAAGCCCAGTTCCCCCACTCAGAATGAATAGTGCTTGCTTTCTTTATATCATATTCCCAACATTTCTTTCCTGATACATGAACTTTTTCATTCCTCTCTCATAACTCTTTGGAGATAAGTAAATAAGATACCGTGCATGTGATGGCAGAAACAATCCTGCAGCCATCTGAATTCTAAATGTCATCTGCAAGTTGAACTTTCAAGTCACAGCCCCTCAGGCTGGTGGGTTTTGGTGACTGAGGAATGCTAAACCCACCATCTGCACTGATTCCCTAAGCTCCTTCTAACATCTTTCCTACCTTCTGTTTGAAACAGCCTGTGTGTCTTATCCCCTCCATCCAGCTGACTGGGAAAAACTCTGGCCAGTATGTTTAGAAAGTTAAAGAAGATCCAGGGGATGTATTAGTAAACTTTTATGTTTTCATACCCAGAGTTGTGGATATAGGGCCTTTGTACACACCACAAAATTGACCTTTAAAGCAACTTAAATGCCCTTTTGCACTGCTTTAATGGCATTGCTTTAATGGCATTGCTGTTTGCACATTCGGTGGTATATTCCGCTTTAATGGTGTTGCTGCTTGCATGCTCAGCGGCATATTCCACTTCAAATGACTTTGGCCCATAGCAAGATAAAACACGTCCAAGGTGTTTTAGTTTGCTACCTAACAAAGTGCAACAGTGCATGGGACACTGGAAGCTGATGTGCTTGGGGCTTAGTCGGCCCTGCGCAGCTCAGGGGCTGGGGGACCTGGCAGCAGCCCATGCAGGCAGGCTCCACTGAAGAAAACAAAACAAAACAAAACAGCGAGTCTGATCTTTTTTTTTTCCTCCCCGGGCCTGCCTGCCTACCTGAGCTGTGTGGGGACCTGGTGCTTCCCTCCACGGCTGGGGTGGGGGGGAGGGGACGGTGCTTCCCTCTGTGGCTGTGGAGCCCCCTGGGACCACCTGGGCTGGGTGCCAGCAGGGGCGTGCCACCTGGGGGGCCCCCATGCAGCTCAGGGACCACTTGGCCCACCAGCAGCTTGCCCCCACTCCCCCACCACCAAAGAGGCAGGTAAGGATTGGGCCCCCACACTTGTGTACATGCCACAGGGGTTTAGTTTGGTTTAATTCTCCCTAAATTGAAGCAGTGTTTTTAAAAAACCACCATTTCAATTTAGGGAGAACTAAACCGAATTACATTCCCATGGCATGTACAAGACTTCATAAAGTCTAGATATGGGGGGGGATGTATAATGAACAAGGCTCACCTCACCTTCCACTCAAAAACAAGTGAAGATTCCCAGCCTCACAGACCCCTGGACCTTTCAACCTCTGCAGCTGTTCTCCATCTTCTCCCCATCACCCTGCTCCTGGGTAGTATGAGTCCATGGAGAGAGCCTTGTGCAGTAGCAGCCGGTGGATAAGGCCCAAAGGAAGCACCAACTCCTAGTGAGTATCTTACTCAACAGACAGAGTTATAGGCAATGGTGAGAGAGAGGGAGACTGGTCCCCAAAACTCAGCATCTAGTAGGCCATAAACCTAATGACACTCCAGTATAATGTAAGGCACAACAGCAAAAAGAAGAGGTTCTGTGGGATCCCAGAGAAGAGGCCTCTACTGAGCAGAGGAAGTGGAGCCACCCTATGCACCCTCGCACTTCTGCAGAGCAGAGTTTTCTTATAGAAGCTGAACGGGGCCAGTTATTGGAAGTCTTTTTTTCATAAAAGTACCATATGTTCTACATGAATAGTAAATCTGCGAGAGCTCAGAGCAGATGATCAGAAAATGCCACACATGTTTTTGTTTCACTTATGTGAAATACCTGCTCTGCTTCCCCGCCATTCACCTCAAGGTAGATCAGACTGGTGCCTTGTATACAAAGTTCCTTTTTGCATTAACGTGGCACAGTACGGTATGAATGAAATTTCCAGCGCAGCTAATCTATCA